ACTATGTCCAGTTCTAATTACCTATGCTACGTTTAGTTTTAAATATTATGCTACAGTATGTCTAATTCTAACTACATGCTATGTCTAGTTCTAACTACAGTGCTATGCCCTAGTCCTAACTACTATGCTATATTATTGTGTTATGTCTAGTTTTAACTACTATGTAGCGGCACTAAGACAACAAAAGCCTCATGACTCTGCAAAATCTTTAGCAATTACACTAGTAAAGTTACCAACTCAGTAATACTGTAATAGTAGTACAAATTTATACAATGATCTACAATATGCATATTGTTTATTTGTTTACATTTTTTAACCAATCAAATCGAATGTCCACCATGCTTAGTCATGGAGAAAACTTTGTTTAAAGTTTTAAAAAAAGTTGAAAATCTTAGAAAAAAAGCAAAAAACCGTAGTAAAAATATCTTTTTTTTAACTTTAAGCAAATATTTCTCAACAGCTATCTAACCAAATTTGATGAGTTTTTTTTATTTTAATTCTACAAACACATAGAATTAAAATAAATTTTTTTTATTGAATTTAATCAAGCAGTTGCTAAGAAACATTCATTTAAATTTTTAAAAAAAATTTACTACAGCTTCTTTTTTGTAGATACTAAAACCTCAATCGATGTTTTCTCAATGATTATCTAATTAAATTTGATAAAAAATTTTTATTTTAATTCTAGAATTAAAATAAAAAAATTTTCATCAAATTTGTTTAGATAATTATTGAGAAACCCCACATAAAGTTTTAGTACCTACCAAAAAAAAGCTGCAGTAAATTTTTTTTAAAACTTCAAAAAATATTTCTTAGTAATTACCTATTCAAATTCAATAAATTTTTTTTTATTTCAATTCTATATATATGTGGATTAAAATAAAAAAATTTCACCGAATTTGGTCAGGTTATCATTTAGAAATCTTCATTTAAAATTTAAAAGCAAATTTATTATTATTTTTTTTTTTAGATTTAAATTTTTTTTTAGCTTTAAACTAAATTTCTCAACAATAACCTAACCAAATTCGATGAAATTTTTTTTATTTTAATTCTACATATATATAGAATTGAAATAAAAAAAAAATTATTGAATTTGAATAGGCAATTATTAAGAAATAGTTTTTTGAAGCTTTGAAAAAAATTTACCACAGCTTCTTTTTTGTAGATACTAAATCTTTACATGAAGTTTTCTCAATTATTATCTAATTAAATTCGATGAAAATTGGTTTATTTTAATTCTATTCTATCTATAGAATTAAAATAAAAAAAATTTCATCGAATTTGATTAGATAATCATTGAGAAAATTCGATTGAAGTTTTAGTACCTACAAAAAAGAAGCTGCGGTAAATTTTTTTTTAAAAATTTAAATGAATATTTCTCAGTGACTACCTGATTAAATTCAATAAAAAATTTTTTATTTTAATTCTATATATATGTAGAATTAAAATAAAAAAAATTTCATCGAATTTGGTTAGATAGCTGTTGAGTAATCTTTGCTTAAAGTTTAAAAAAGATATTTTTACTAGGTTTTTTGCTTTTTTCCGATTTTTAACCTTTTTTTAAAACTTTAAGCAAAGTTTTCTCTACGACTATCCAACCAAATTCAATAAAATTTTTTTTGTTTTAATTATACATATTTGTGGAATTAAAATAAAAAAAGTTTTGCTAGAATTGGTTAAATATTTATCGAGAAATATTTGCTTAAAGTTTCTAAAAATCCTTTAAATTTTAAAGGATCGACCAGGAATTTTGGGGATCCCCTTGTAAAAATCAAACAATGTAATGCAAACCGATTCATGTAGATCATTGTCCAGGACGAGTAAAGTGATACCGAAGTTTCGTTTTTGATGTATTAAATAGCTATAAATCAAAACATAACTTTGAAAAAAGGATGTTTGTCCATACACTAGAACCTTCGAATCCTTAATTGTGTTTGGCTATTTAAAAATTTTTAATTTCTTTTTAAAACTTCTAGAGAAGGTTTCTCAATAACTACTTGATCGAAATTAGTAAAAAATTTTTTATTTTAATTCTATATATTTGTAGAATCAAAATAAAAAAAAAGATTTATTGAATATAGTTTAACAGTCATTTAGAAACTATCGATAAAAGTGTAGGAAAAAACTCAAATACGTATCAAGCTAAAATCAGGAAAATTTTTATTTTTAAACCTTTAAATGAAATTTTCTCTACAACCACATGTATATGAATTTATAGAATTAAAATAAAAATAATTATCCAATATCGGACTGACAAATAACTTTGGTTATTTGGCAGTGTTGGGTCTATTTTTGCCAAATAACAAAGCTATTTGGCAAAAATAGACTCACTGCCAAATAACCAAGTTATTCGTCAGTCCGATCATAGTAAAGATATTGGATAACACCATTATTGGATGTTACACACCAATAACTTATTTATCTGACTTACAGCCAGATAATGGAGTTATTTGAAAAATAACTCCCGTCATTGGATGCTTCACAACCAATAACTATATATTATTAAATTTAATATTGAAAAATCTTCATTTAAAGTTCAAAACAAAATTTGGCTGCAGCTTTTTTTTAATAGGTACTAAAAATTTGAACGAATATTACTCGATTCTTAACTAACTAAATTCGATCAAAATTTTGATTGAATTTAGTTTGGTAAATGCCAATTAAGCTTTGTTTAAAGTTTCGGTATCTTTTAGAAAAAAGCTGTGGCCAAATTTTGGTTTGAAGTTTAACAAATATTTCTCAACAACCCCTTTACAAATTTGAAAAAAATTATTTTAGTTCTGTAGATCAATAGAATTAAAATAAAAAAATTTATTAAATTTGTATAGGCAGTTGCTGAGAAATCTTCGATTAAAGTTCTTAAAAAAAATCTTTTAAAAAATAAAGTTATAATAATTTTTTATTTAAACTTTAAACAAAGGTTTACCAATAACCACTTGTACAAATTTGATAAAAAATTTTATGTTTTAATTTTACAGATTACAGAATTAAATAAAATTTTTTTATCAAATTTGTACAGGTGGTTGTGAAATATTTATTACAAATTCAAACCAAAATTTGGCTATAGCTTTTTTTTAATAGGTACTAAAACTTTAAGCTTACTCACCACTTACCTAACCAAATTTGGCAAATTTTTTAGTAATAGCTTTTTTGCCAAGATCTAGATTAAAAAATTTAAAAAAAGGTAGTTATAACTAGCTATATATTCTGGCTAATAAACTACAGATTTCTTTTAGAAAAGAAATAGCAAAGCTAATTCTACTTTGGCAGATTATATATAAATACTTTAAGCCACATTTTATATAAAATAGCAAAACTCAGTTAATTGCTATCTTGGAGTTATAAAAAAAAAATAGCAAAACTATATATAATTAACACATATATATTTAGTATTAAAGATGAGGCTTTGCTCGTATCTTTATTAAGTATTTTATATAAGTAAATATAAAAAAAACTAGATAGCAACTCAATTCATATACAAATGAGTAAATATAAACTATATGCAAGAATAAAAGCTCAGACTAATTATTTATCTGTGGTCTAAATCTACAAGAGTAGTTAAAGACTCATTTAGATTTGAATAGATAAAATATAATTGGTGGGTGCTAAACTGGATCTACATAGTAGACTAGGTATCAAATTTGTAGTTGGTAAGCCCAACAGGTGAGCCAGAATTTGAGTCAGAATGTATTTGGTCTGGTAAGTGTCAACATATTTTGTACTAGAATGTAAATACTATAGTACTAATAAAGTTGCAATATAATCAACAAGTTAAAAAAAATTATTGTAATTCTATATAATAAATCTTTGATATTGTTACTAGTAAAAGTTTTGCTTATTTTAAATTTTAAAAACTATTTTGGGTTCTTTGAAACTAAGATCTTGCTAAGTATAAATATAAAATTTTAAACTACAATATTAAAAATAATAGAGGCTTTATAAAAATAAATAGCACTTTAACTATTATATTAATAAACAAACTTTTAACATAATTACGTATTATAAAATCTACCAATTTTGAAATCTTAAAAAACTATTTTAGGATTTTGAACTAAGATCTTGTTGAGTATAAGCATAAATTTTCAAATACAGTATTAAAAAAAACAGCAGAGACTTTATAAAAGTAAATAGCATTTTAACTACTATTTAATAAACAGTCTTTAATATTGTTACTAGTAAAAATTTGCCTATTTTAAAATTTTTAAAAAACTATTTGGAATCTTTAAAACTAAGGTTTATTGTATATAAATACAAAATTTTAAATTGCAATAATAGAGAAAAAAAAGCAATAGTATTTAAGTTGTGTTACTAATTACTATGTATTACTATTGGCAGAGGAGCTAAAAATAATGAATAGACCAATTTAATTTTGGATAGTAAGCAATATAAGCCTGAAATATATTATATATATATTATATATAGAGTTTTATAAATATATATATGTAGAGTTATTATAATTATGCATGCAGTATAAATATCATATAAATTAATAATATAATAGTGAGATAGAGATATGGGGTCTTTGCCTTGAAAATGACCTTACGGGACTATGTAGATTTTATGAATAAAAATTAAAATTTCTAGCTATCCAGTAATCCAATTAAAATAACCTTTTTTTATTTTTTAAAGCTTAGTGAGTTCTACAAAATAAAAAAAAATTTATTTGAATTTGCTTATTAGATGGCTAGGAATTTTAATTTTTATTAATAAAATCTACATAGTCCCGTAAGGTCATTTTCAACTATATAATGTCTTCGATATACCGTATGATACGTATTTAAGACCAATTTGTACGTTAAATTTTTTGCTACAGGTATAACAAGATGCTTTGCTAATATACAGTATAGTCTATATTGATTTAGTTACACAACGATATAAACCGATCAAATCGGTTTAGATATATGACGGTTTGGGTCCTTCCTGGTTACATTTATAGATTTATAGATCACAAATTTTTCTTGCAAAAACTGAAAATGAGACCAGCTAGAAAGCAGGTACAATTTACAAACAACTATACGGTCAACGATCAATACCTCAAAATGTTATTCTTTAACTGACACTTATTACATTTGTCCCTCAGGCAGACGAATCCATTCTAAAAGTAGGACCGTCAAGACTCTCATCTACTGATACTCCTGGCACGTTCTATAATATATGGTACAATAAATGGTCAGGCGGTGAAAGGACATCAAGATTTTCAAGGTTTTTATGAGAGTTTCGGTTTGTAAATTATTCCGCACGTTAAAAAAGACTTACAATTGTCTAATATGCTTTTCATGGACAGAGAGAAGGCAAAAACGCGTTGTAGCGTAGCTCTTGATGCCGGTGAAACTAAAGCTGATAAAATGCCTAGTACATATTTCTGCCTATATTTTGCACGTGGATGCTGCCCTTTCGGGTAATTAAATCTAGAATTGTTGTCTTATTATATTTATTTCATCGTATTTGAACTTTTTTTTCTTTTTCAGACATGAATGTGGTTTTTGGCACAGAATACCTACGGAATCGGACCCTGTAGACTCTACGATTGATGTGTTTGGACGCGATAAATTTAATGAATATCGAGATGATATGGGTGGCGTTGGTTCTTTTAATAGGGAGAATCGGACGCTTTACGTTGGATATATTCACATTAATCCTGATATGGAGGTAAGTCGAATGATATTACGAATTTGCTGAATTATATTTTCTCATTTGAATACTCTACTCTTTAGGTAATAGTTAAAAAGCACTTTGGTGAATGGGGTGAAATCGAAAAAAGTAATTTATATATATATATATATATTTTTTAAATACATATAATATACAAGTAATAAAAATTTTAAACATATAGTTAAAATATTAAAGGACAAAGGCGTAGCTTTTGTGACGTATATGAGCTCTCTCAACGCAGAATTTGCTAAAGAGGCAATGAGTAACCAGAGCTTAGATCATAATGAGGTGCGTATTAAAGTTGACGAACTCACATATTTTTGTAGTATTATCAATGCCCATTCGGGTGTACTAATTTTCCCACCACTTCACTATCGGAGTACTATAAAATTGATCAACGCAGATACTCCGATATTTGAATAACTAGTAGAAGTGGTGGGGAAATTAGTAAACTCACCCATTTCAATGTAATTCCACATTACTAATCATATTATTTGACTAAGGAAGGTACTCAATGTACGGTATGGTATCTATCCATTTGAATTTATTGTTTGATTTGTATAGTATCTAACTCGTTAATTTGTATCATTAGATGGGCTACCGATGATCCAAATCCTCGTGCTAAAGCTGAATATAAGAGGAAGGCAGAAGCACTTGCAGCACAAGCAATACAAAAAAGTCTTCCTGCTGAATTCACACTAGGCAATACAGATTACACAAACAAACGGCCTAGAATGGATTATAACTCTATACCGGATCAATACGGGCTAGAGGGGTACCAAACACCACTGGGTTTGGAACAACCTGTTTATTATGATCAGTCCGTTGGAAGTGGTGATGGACAACATGTAGAAACAACAGTTGCACCTACAGAAAGTGGTAAAAATTCATCATCCATACAGCACAAAACGTCAATTGTTTCACCAGAAACTCTTGAATCATTGAAACATATTTCACAGAGTCTGCACTCGGCAAATCTTAAGCCAACAAACACAAATTCTGTACAAAAGTCTGCGTTAACAGGATTAGCAGATTATGACAGTGAAGAAGATCAAGAGAGCGATGATGAATAATTACCATACGTCGGCCTCCCATACAATCACACAGTTGGGCACATAGTAAATTTTTTTAAAAATATGCTTATAAAGGGTTGTGCTTATATGGAGGTTTTTTTATAAATTAATCATAAATAAAAATATGATTACATATGATGTGATTATATAGGAGATGACTATATGAAGGTTGACTGTATCACATTTTAAGTAACATAATGATATTTACGGAACAATCTTTATCAATAATTTATTACATTGGGGTTGCGACACAATTATGTTTTAGTTTGATTTTTTCCATGGCGTTAAAAATCGTGTTCAGATCAGAGCATTCATCTAACTCAACTGTGTCTCTATGTAATTGTAAATCACCTTGTTGTAATCTTACCAATTCTACAACATGAGCTGCACTATTAAGCTCTATCCCAATATCATGTATTAATGATCGAATATATGTTCCTTTTCCACACTCGACATGAATTTTAAAAATTGGATTGTTCAATAGTGAATTTTCTATAATTGAATCTTCATTAATTCTTTCGTTACTTTGATTATTCTTATTCATTGTATCACTACTTTCAGATGTTTTTATTGCTTCGAGAAGCATTGTGTCTGTTGTTGTAGGAGGCTTATAATCATGGCTAGTAGTGAAATCTAATAATGACAATGAATGAATCTTGACTGCACGAGGTTCAATGCTTTTCGGAAGTGCAATCCCTTTACGCGCGTAATCATAAAGGCGTCGTCCTTCCATCCGTAAAGCAGAATACCTTTATGTTTGAAAATAATGTAATTATATAACCATAATATAATTATAACAATCGGATTATTTGGGGACGTCCAGATTCGTGCAATTACATTTTAGACGCATAAAACGTGATGTAACTAGTGCGATATTCGTGCAAATAACAATATTAATTAATATATCAACATAATAAAGACTAAAATTTGATCGCCAATTATTTGTTGATATTATATATACAACTATATTAAATCGAAATTTAATCAACACAAATATATTTATCCCCCTTTATCTCTCCCTAATTTTTATTTGCCTGATATCGCATAGTCAAAATTTCTTATATCGAATAAAAATGCATTTTAAATTGTACGAATCTGGAGACTCTAGGACGTGATAACAACAATGAAGCTTACAGGGGCGGCTTTTGTAAAATGTCTCCAGTAAATTTCTGTAATGTAAATGATAACATTTCTTTAGTGATGTGCTTAACTGGTGCAATCTTTGAGAGTTTTCCACAGGAATCATAACTATCTGTTGCGAAACCAAACAATCCAGTCGCTGAATAAACCTGAAACATGAATGTTGTTAAAAAAAAAAAAAAAAAAACAGATTCATGTACGCTTTAATCGAATTTATTTGAAAATTGAAGAAACCTTATTGCAACCGATATATTTGTATAGCTCTTTACACCCGTCATTTATACCAATTACCAATACACCTGTAGCTAATGGATCTAATGTGCCACCATGTCCTAATTTTAATTTCTTTTTATTTACAATTGAATTTGTTCTATTTCGAAAAAATTGTCTAAGCGTGTTTAAAACCTCTGTAGAAGTTTTTCCACGAGGCTTATTTATCGCTAATAATCCGTGTAGTAACATTAAGAATGTGAAAATTCAAATTCGTTCCGAGTCGGTCTGGGTTCAAATTAGGAAATGGCTCCGATATAGTTACACGAATTTAAAAAATTTAAAATTCATAACGATGAAGAAAGAATAACGATAATTTGTGATTTTATATAACTTATAATATATAGTTATGGATCACATTCTAGTCATGTAAATTTTCATTACATTAAGTATAATACAACATTCATTTCATCTAGTGTGAATAAATTTTAATTGACCTGAACAGAGATGTTTGTAACCGATAAAATTGCTGATGAGACGCGATTTCATTTTTTTGGGGGGGAGGTTTACCGGCTATAAAAAACGCCTAGTACTAGCTGATAATTTTGCTACCGGCATATTATACGTATAATAATAATACCGTAATCAATCAAAAACCAATGAAACCAAATTGTATAAATTCAATTGAATAAAATTAATAACCAATTAGAAGAAAGTTATCCTGTATACTGTGCCCCGATTTCTATTTAAAAATCATGAACCTATATATATCGAAATCATGACGTAGAAGGTGCAAGTTAATAATCCTTTACAAGTATTCAATCCACGGACTTCATGCGAAATACCAAGAGCGAAGGTTTAACGCACAAACAACTATTAATTTTTCAATGTCGGTGCTGAATGATCCAGAGTATGTAAATAAAAGCTTCGTATTTTTAGTTACACGATTTACTTCATTGGCTAATGCGATTCGAATTACTATAAAGTTATCTTATTCACCAACTACGTATAGGTTATCTTCGTCGTGTAGGAGATCGAATCGGAGAACGCGTAATTAGTTTCAATCCAAGTGTTCTTACAAATGACTACATTAAAACTGCTGCATCTTCATATCCGGAGATGATAACTTGTCATTCACCCAGCATTTCCATGCCAGGAAACGATTATTTTAGCAGTAGAAGCGTAATAAGTAGTGCTGCTGGTTCACCCATATCGACGACCAACGGGAGGTTAAAAACTTTAACTTCTTCAAATGGAAGCAGAGACGCAATGTCAACCAATGGTGATAGAGAAAAATCAAGTATAAATAATACAGAAAATGGCGACAGTGACTATGATATCGAACTCGATGGTGATGAAAATTCGTAAGCTAATAAGTTAATGATATTTTGTTTCTTAAAAAAATAGTAATAAAATAAAAGAGATCAAGAAGTTTGGCATACGTATTCTTTTATTATTTTATGAATAATAATTAAGAACGTCTATATTCATAATTTATTACAGAAAACGGCCTAAGTTCGCCAAACTTCGTTTACCGAAGCAAGCAGAACCTCCACCGCCTGTATTTGTGATATCTCCATCAAAACCACCCACTCGTCGAAGTCAGAATCCAGTTCATTATTATTCACCTGAAGATGCACTGAAAGCTTCTTCTCCAGACATTATACTTGAAATATCATCAAATGAACAAACGCCACAACTATCGCCAACTACTTCAGCAGAAAGTTATAGAGCATTAAATGAGAGAAGAGATTCAGAGACGTCTTTGCTGACAGCTGATTTGACAGAAATACCGCCGAGTCCGCCATCAAAACCAGCGGTACCACCATTAGAAGAGAAGGAACTTTTTCCTGATCCACCAAAGGCTGGTCCAAAACCCAAGCCTTTTTCAGCGTTAACAGCATTAATTGCAGAAAAAAAGAATAAATTGGACAATCCATTTGCTGAATACTACAGCTTCTTTGCTGGAAAAGGGGATCTCAACCCGATAACACTGAAGATTTACCTTCCGTTTAGCAGTGAACCTACACGTCCATTAGTTATAATTGTAAAAAGGGAAGCCAGTGTTGAAGAAGTTATAGGATATACGTTATATCAATACTGGGATGAGAAGAGGGAACCTTTATTAGAGAAAAGGTTATGTGATGTTTATCATTGGAATATGAGAATGGTGGAAGATGATGGTGAAATTGATGAAGATTTTCCTGGTAAGCGACAAAACTATCAAATTGAGCTAAATTCCTCTTCTTTTTTTTTTTTTTTCCTAAACTTTTTTTTTTTTTGTCTTTAAATTTACAAAGCTCTGGACAGAACGCAAAAAATAGTAAAATTCTCGTTTGACCAATTTGCTTTATGCAAAGCGACTCCAGCTCAAGGTTAATTCATAATTATTTATTTTTAGAATTTATTTAATATTTTTAGTTTTAACGATTAAAATATCATCATACAGTCAAACAAAATGAGAATAAATCGAGAGGATCTATCCAGGATGTTTCTAATCTCAAACCGAAAGGGCCCCCCGACCCACCGTCTGAAAATAACAGCATTAATAACCAAATATTTTTGCGTGTTCGACTTACCCTTGATCCACGTGAAGAGGTTGCGCACACAACCACGGTAAATGTTCAGGCTGATATGCCCTTTCGGAATGTTTTAGAAACGCTTTGCCATAAACGCAAATTGGATAGCAACAAATACACTTTAAAAATTGCGGATACAGATAAATATATAAGTATGGAAAAGACCGTTGAAAGCGTTGGAAATGCTAAAGAGCTTGCATTGGTAGAGAAACCCACTAATGGAATACCCCCTCCTCCTGACGTAACGCCACCAAGCCCAACGGGTGAGATCACATCTTTCATAGAAATTTATATATATATATATATATAATGAAAACAACAATTACTTATATTATTCGTCATTTTAGCGACTAAAGATAGTAAATGCCTTGTCAGAAGAAGAACACTTAATGAACCTCCTCAGCCGCTATATTTCTCCTCCAATGAATTTATGTCAGTGTACAAGGTACCAATTTTGCTTTTATGATTTTATACACATTACATCTGTATTTAATCTACTCTAAACAACTTATATAGAAATACACAGTCAATCGTAAAATACCAATGTTTGTTGGACGTCACGAACGTGTATTAGCGATTGATGGAGATTATATTCATATAATGCCATCGGAAACAAGAACGATGTTTGAATCAGTCAAAACGGTACACTCAAAAAAATTTTATCTATTTTATTCATGCCATTTTAATTAATTAATTAATTATTTTTTTGTTATTATATCACGTTTCGCTCTTTTAATACTCTTAGTCATCATATCATATCACATCAGTAATGTCTTGTAAAGTAAATAAAAAGGCTCCATCAAACTTCAAATTGGTGATATATCGGGATTCCGGAACGAAGACATATGACTTTGAAGCAGAGTCAACGAAGTTGGCTAGTAAGTGACAATTCTTTCGCATTTTAATTTAATTTAATTTATTGAGTTTTCTTCGTCACACTCAGGGTGGTAAATGGGTTATTACCACTCCGTCTAAATTAGATAGTAAATTGACAGTCTGGCCTACCTAAGTTCCTCCAACCCTAATATTTGCATCAAATTTCTATTTAATTTAGATGAGATAGCAATAAATCGTTTATCACCTAAGTAGAATTAGGACTTTTTTATTTTATTTATTTATTTAATAATTTCAATCGATTTATAGGTGAAATTAGCCAAAAAGTTAATTTTCTCCAGAAGCTCAACAAAGGTGAACAATCTAAGTCGCGATCATATTCAAAACACTAGTGGTATATTTGTTTATCCTCAAAATTTATCGAGATAAAAGTATCCATTATTCCTACCCCACACACTACAAACCTCACTTAAGCTCCCATACACGAAACACTTAACCATTGTTAAAATCCGCGTTGTAAATTTATTTCCTCCGTCATATATTGTATGTATAAGATGGTTCTCGTTTTTTTTTTTTTTTTTCTTTTTTTTTTTTCTTTTTTTTTCCTTTATTTTGTCTGGGACAAGGTCCACTCTTTAGAATGAATGTATATAGAGATTCCGAATATCTTGTAAAATCAATCCGAAAAAAAAAAAAACTCCCCAAGAGGATATTCATCCTCAATTCTCTCCCTTCGGAAAAAAAGTTATGTATAGTAACAAATGGCGGGAATCATGTATTTATTCAAGCATACCAAATTATTTGTATAATATAAGAAGGGTAGAAGTGTTAACCAATATCATTATTGAGGGGGCGAATTGCGTTAACAGTATAGTCAAAAAAAGCTCATATATCGCCAGCAGATCTTTAAATCTTTGCGATGACGTGATTATATTTTCGAAAGTGTCGCCTATGGTATCAAATTGTTCTTTGTACCAGATACAAACTTTATAGTACCAAACATTATTTATATAAATATTTACTGCATGATGAGCTTGCATATATTCGTTCGTATTAAACACATGTATAGTTTGCTAAATGTTTTTTGAAAATCTAAATATGGATTAAAGTATTATGGATTTTTTAATAATCTATATTTGGACTTGGCTTTAGCTGGCGACATTCCACTGCTGTAAAGTTTAATATAAAAATTAGTTTATTACTACTAATGGCTTTGTAGACTAATTTCGTTAGATTCAAATCTTCGTACACACCCCTTTAAATACTATATAGGCGCTGTTCAGTAGAAAAAGGAGAAATCTCTATTTAGATTTGATCAAAAATTTCGAGAAAATCACGTTTACAACAATTACCCGGTGACAAACGATGTAGATCAATTTTTTAAAATATTGCGGAGTGATAACGGATCATGTGATCGAAAAGTGAGACGGTACACCCACGCAGTGTTGTACATTTTGGATGTCCGAGCCTTTTTGAACTGTCCGGCGGACTGTCCGAATCTCATCTGGCTTACAAATCTAATCTTAAAAATACACTCATATATGCAAAAATCAATTCTGAACAACTTTAATTAATAATTGAAGGCGGGTCACAAAAATAAAATCTTGCCCTATTTAGTATTATTTAGTGTCAAACTCTGTCCAAGTATTGTCTGAGTTGTCCAAGTGACAACACTGCACCCACGCCATGATCCGCAGGATTACTCATGAGAGGCCAATGCCGAAACAAGAAGCTGATTGAAAGGGGGAATCATATGCGAAGATGCTGCTTTATATAATAATAACATATGAGCAATATAAGCCCCAAAAATAGAATCTGAAAGAAGAATGGGAAGCTTTTGATAAAACCATGGCGCCAAATACTAGATTACCCCGGTGTCAAATTTGATCGATCAGACTTCTTCTCGACCCACCCGACCCATCCAAGTTGAACGACGGGACAGAATTTTACCATTTCTCTACTCTTATACTTCTTTACCACATATTTGGTATTTTCACCTGTTCATAGCCAGCCTGCTCCGGCGGGCAGGAAATCACTAGCTGATCAATCCTACAGCAACTTCTAGCACAATGATTGTTGCATACTTCTTGGGATGTCTTTGCCGTTCTGGCTAATCATGGCCAGTCACTTGCTTATCTGCCATTATGTACTAAATTCCGTTTGACTGTTTTAATAAAAAACTACTTCCGGCCTAAATAATGCTGGCATAGTCCAAACTTGAGTAGTGTAAAGCGATACTTTTCATATTTATATAAGCCATATGATGTAACAATTATGTAATGCACGTGATTTTTACTTTTTCACTATGTAAAAAATTGTGTCACACCAGGTTCATATACAATACTAGATGATAAAGATCATATGAGGTCCGGTAAACAAAAACATGGCTTATAGCATTTTTTTGCAAAATAGAGTTAATGATGCTATTGTATAAAGTAGCTATTCTTCTATATAATTTAAAATTTAAAATTTTGATTTACATAATAAAATTTTTATTGATGCCTACTTTTTTAAATGTCATATATGATAAAACATGATCTAAAATTAGATTTTGGGGTGTGGTGATGTAGTGAAGTGGTGGAGTTGTCACACCCCCAAGTTTGTTGGCTATAGTACTAAGTTCAAATCCTACTAGTGATGTTTCAGACAATTTACTTGTATTATGACAATAGCTTATTCAGAATTAGGCTGGATTTATATATCTGTTGTTATAAAACAGGTTTTCGTAAATTAGTATAGCATAGCACATAATTTAGATTCTATATTTTATATTATTTAGTTTATATTTATTATCTTGTATTTTATATTAGATATTTATTATATTTGTACAGTATTATGTATAAGAGAGTTAAAGCCACTGTGGCACATAATGTAGCTAAAGTTATACATGGCTCTCAAGTCCCTCAACTATACCTTCAAGTCCCTCAACACGGCCTCCAATTCCCTCAAGTCCTTCTACTCTCTCAACACGGTCTTCAACTCTCTCAACACAGCCTCTTACTCCCTCAAACACATCTCTCAACTCTCTCAAGTACAATGTTACATTACTCTCAATTCCCTCTTCTATTTTGTAAAAGGTATATAAAGGAAGCATAAATCTCTTCTTGAAAAAATAGATCTGATACAGGTTTATACAGCTCTTAGATAGATCTCAATTACCTCTCTCTTATAGAATTAGTTTTGTAATTCTCTCTTGTAATGAATAACTCTCTTTAGGATCTCTAAAGGAGGTTATCCTTTTGTTCTATAAAAATAAAGGTTTAAAATACACTATTCTAATACCGAACTGCTTACCTTTTGCTTGTGAATACTTAATTGTACTCCACATCCACCCTGTATATATTCCAGTAGCAGAATCTCTACACCAAATGACTTTGTTATGATGCTATGTAGTTACAAAAAAGGCCATAGCATTGTAATATTTTGGTGCCTTCTGGTGGAAAACATTGAAAACCATTGACTAGAAATATATCTAAAACCCAATTATTCTAGTGGAAACCAAAACCATTCTGGAAATCTAATATGTTAACTGAAATACCCGACTGCCCTGATGGGATTACCTAAAGCTATTTTAAGGAAACAGGCCAAAAACAATACCAAAAACTATACCTAAGTCCATCCTGGAACTCTAACATTAACTGAAGTTAGGCCAGAAATAACCAACTTGGAACCTCAAACAAGAGTACTAAAGTCTATGCTTTAGCACTAAATTAGTACCGGACCTAAACCTACCTACTGGAGGAACCACCCGAAGCACATGACCAACCCAGAACATGTGACCAAAATGCTCTTTGGAATCTCTTTCAAGATCCCGGAAACTTAAAGCAAATATACTATCTGGACCAAAAAGCATTTAAGCCCAATAGAACCTAACCTATTCGCCAATCTAACCAGATCCGGAATGCCTAAACACAAGTCATAGTGCCCTAACCTACAGGAAGTAGCTTCGCGACCCAGACCTTATAGCACTACTACACATAAAAACGAAAGTATTACATACTCTACATATGCTATAGCAAGTACATTGGCTATATACTTATAACGCGTCTAAAGTATTGCATTATCACGTGACTCAAGACTAAAAATAACAAAATTAAAGTACTATAGCTTTATTGTCAAAACCGAAAGTAACATGACAATAGAAAAACAGACTGTGGCCTTAATACTGAAAACTAAATAGAACCTCAAATGAAACAGCATTATAGGAAATAGTCATGAACTCAAACATGACTGCACCATGATATATGTAAAGAGTAGCAATCTAATTAGAGAACAGCAACCAAATAAATGGTCCTGCCCTAATGCAAAATTTTATAAAAATGCTTACCGGAGAAAGCATTACAGTGTTAAATTTGAAAACTGGGTTAGAAAACAGCATTAATAAAGAAATCATTGACCCAGGTATGATCGCATAATAACATATATGAAGTGGGCAAATACAAATTAAAAGCAGTATAAATAGCCCCACTCAAATATGAATTTTATAGAAACTGCTCAATGGTAAAAGCAATGAAACTGGAGCAATACAATAATGAATCCAAAATTGGATTCAGATACAAATTCGCCAACTCTTATTACCCAAAAAATAGTGCAAAATTAATCACTAAGGAAGAATATTTATTAAGCAAAGAAAAGATTTGCTCAAAGGCACGTACAATAAAACCGGAAACAACATCAAATAAACGAAACCTAAACCAAGGCAGCTCTGTGAACCAACAATACACAAAAGATTCTGGAAACCTTATTTAAACCAAAAAGGTAGCATCCATCCAAACCCGAGGTACAGAGGAATGCAAACTCACGACAAGACTTCCAAGGCCAAAACTTCGATCATACAAAAGTCAAGCAAGTAAAAAGACCACAACAAAGATGACCAAAACAAAGAATCATGAAGACCATGAATCAAATCCATGATGAAACTTTATTAAGTTACGCATTTCAAAATAACCATAAATTACCCTAATGAAGATATCAATTTACAAGGAAGTAGTAATGTAATTAACTTTGGAACAGCAACTTATATTTATAAAAACAACGATGCAAAACAAAAAG